CATAGTGCTCTGATCCTGACATCAGCACAGGGAAGCCCACATACCAAAGTTCTGAGCGAGTGCCGCTGTTTGGACAGAGCTGCTGCGGCTTACACTACATGTTCCTACCAGCTGACACTAGGCGAGAGGCGGGGTCCACCCTGGACAGGTCGCTAGTCTGTCCCAGGGCTGACGTGTAGACAAAGAACCAGGCACACTTACACCAGTCAACCTGTGGAAGGAAGCCGGAGAACCTACGCAGCCACAGGGAGAACATGCATACTCCACACAGAAAGGCCTCGGGTCGGCCGGGGCTCAAACCCGGAACCTTCCTGCTGTGAGGCGACAGCGCTAACCACTGTGCTGCTAGATAAAACTTCCTGCCATCTTTTGGAGTTTTCTTTTTTTTTCTTTTATACTTTATTACTTTTATCTTGTTCTTTGCTCTTTCTCTTTCATCAATTCTTTCCTTTTTTCTATCAGTCTGTTTCCTTTTTCATTGGTTGTTCTTTCTTGTTTCTTCATTTTTCTTTTTGTATCTTCTCATTTATTGACTTTTCCTTTCTACTGTCTTTGCCTTTCTTTCCTTCATTTCTATCCTTTTCTTTATCTCATTTTATTTGTTTCCTATGTTTTTCTTTTTATTATTGTTTGGTTTGACCTTTGCTGCAGGTTCTCATTCATAAATGATCCAACTACACGAGCTACACCTTCCCAGTGAATTGAGTGGGAAGGTATGTCCAAACGTGGTCGTGTATTTTTCAGACAATTTACTGGAATCCACATTATTCTCTTTCTTGTCTTCAGATTAGCTTTTATTTTCTACCTTCCTCCTTTCCAGCATTTCTTTCCCCTTTTCCTTTTATGTTGCCTTCTTTCCTTCCTCGTTTCCTTCTTTCCATTTTAAGTCTTAGCCTCCTCACATCTGATTTCACACCAGAAAGTGTTAGGGTGATTTTTATTTTACGCACTTATGATCCAGGTAAACTTTAGTAAACTTATGACTTATAACTGAGTCAAACATTTTTTATGTGGTTTCTGGTTCTTCTCTGATAATTAAAGGCGACTCTCTCCTACTGTGCTTTTTTTTAACTGACCAATCGTGTTTGTTTATTTACTCAGACTCACTGGTCGTCATGGTAAAGGGTGGAAAATGCAGCTAAGAATACTGCTGGACTCGCTGAGAGCCTCTCCTTTCATGGCAGTGATGCAAAGTTTCCTACCTTCCTGCAGGCGGAGCTGAGCCGTGAGGTTTGCCTCCATCTGACGGAGCTGCTCGATGTCCTCCCGTAGGACACTGATGTTCATGTGCAGGACACCCTGCAGCACAAAACGAAATCCCAAGAAGAGAGGAAATGCATGTGACTGAGAGACTCTCAGGTTAATGGAGCAGACATACAGTTACATGTTATGTAAGTGTGAGCCACGTTTGGACTATCACCCACATCCTTCTCTGTGTACATGGCAAAGAAAGCTGCAAGCATCTTTGTTGTTTGTTCACAGACCTTCCCTGAACTGTGAAATTACATCTAGCACTCTTTCACTTTACCAACCAGGCATCCGTAGTTCACGTTGTAGCTTCAGGAAACAGGATGGGAGTGGCAAAAATAGGTAAAGTCCAGTTTATGGTGCCAGTTTTTTCTGAGTCATGTTAACCCTTCAATGCTCTGTCATTTGTATCGGATTATAGCAGATTAACAAGAGAAACCCAGTTGTCACAACACTTCCAGAGTAAAATGTGCAACTGAATAATTTTTCCAGAAGGCAAACGTTCTCTGCTGGCACCTGATTTTTATTTAGTTTGATGTTTTAAAAAATGTATTTTTAATAAAGTTGCTGTCAGTGAAGAGCTCAGACTGTGTCAGTGCTGCAGTAAACACTGCTCTGTGAAGGCCAAGATGTCCCATGTGTGTCCAGGTCTGCTTCGGAGAGCTGCCAGTTCACCTGTGTGGCCACTGTGTTGCACTGAGAGCCAGTTCTGATTATCATGTTTCTGAATGTGGATTAATAACCTGCCCTAAGTGACCCTCAGCTATGCCAGTCCAGGCCGTGCTGGGCCGTGGGCTCTCAGAGCTGAGGTGGTGATTGAAACCAGGACCTGGCTTATAGAGGCATTCCTTTCATCGCACGTAGCTGTTAAAGTTAGAGCAACAGAGTCCTGCACGTAAAGGAGTAGTCCAGATAATTCACCCAGAGAGCGTTTAATACCACACACTATGTACACAGAGTACTCATACTGTTAGTAGTGATAATAATAACCACAGGGTACTGAGCTGGCAGGGAGCATTTATATTATTGTTTTGATACTGTGACATGTTTACACATTCTGACACAGATTCACTTCTTTAAGATCTCCCAGATATTTTATCAGAACCCCTTGAAATCCTCAAGCACACCTAGAACCCAATCAAAGACCCTGAACATTTCTCAAGGCCCTTGGAAACTTCCTCAAAGACATCTAAGACTTTATGAAGAATTGTTGAAACCTGAAACTTATTGGAGACCCCCGGACCATCTTTATGATCAATAGAAAACAACCAAGGACACAGGAGCTCATGAATCTTCTTAAAGACCCCTGGAACATCCTTAAGGACCCCTGTAACTTTCTTTCAACCTATACAACCTCCTCAAGGGGCCCTGGAACAGAAATCTTCTCAAATATCAACTCTCCCCAAGGACCCTTGGAACATGAACCTTCTCAAAGACCCACATCCACAAGAACTCTTAAGAAATCCTTATGGACCTCAGCAACCTGTGTCTTAGTCCCGACCTCGGAATATGTGAGGTAAGAGCTCTGGTGCGTCCTTCAAGATGACGGACCAGAACGACGTCCGGGTTGCAAAAAAGACAAGTGAGATATCTCCAGTATCGTGTATCTAGAGATGAGCGGGACAGACTGAAAACAGACTCTGCGCACTAATCTGAGCTGAGGAGATGTCACCTCTGGCTCTGAGACGTGAGGCCGTGAAGTCAGGTGAACAGGGTGTGGGGTCTACTTTACTCGGTCTGTTCCTGTCGGGAGCTAACGCTAGCTAGCAGGCTGATGTCAACACAAACAGCAGGTAAATCAGTCTCTGTGTTCAAACTGATTATTAAAGTGGACGTGTGGACTGGAGCATCTGCTGCTCTCTGCAGCTCTATGGGCCAATGTTTACTATGTTTTACATTAAGGAGAATGATGAGACCTTGTTAGCGGCACAGGGTTTTATTATTCCTGCTCAGCTGTTCTGTACATGTCCCTAGTAAACATAGATGTGTCATGTTTTGTAGTTTTACATTTGGTAAGGAAAATAAATGGTTGCTGCTCACTTGTTGAAGACTGAAGTGTTTTTGCAACATTGGTGTTTATCTGATGTAAATGAATCATGAAGTGAACGGAAAGTGAATCTCACTAGATATGAAAACAGTTTTGTCATACTGTGAAGTCCTCCTTTTCTCAGCACAGATTTGAGCCTGAACAACTGAAGCTGCTCAGCAGGACGTGATGCACAGGAAACAGCTCATCTCTCCTCTGTCTCAGTGTTTGCATACCACAGCTCTGACTCTTTCTGACTCAATGGTTCAGTGGCTTACATTTCTCATGCAAACATCTGCACGCCTCACTCTAATATTGTCTGATTGCCGATCAACAAATAGACAAAAGTGCAACTCCACACAGGTCGTGACTGAGCTGGTCGTGAAAGGTGTAAAGTACATAAACATAGAGAAGGATACAGACGGGATCCTGTGGTGTTTGTAGATTTGGAAGAGGACAAGTACACAAATATATGTTGTGTATCTTGTGTTGCATTGTGGGAGAGAAAACACATAAACCCCCCTGAAGAACTACTGGAAACTATTCAAGGATCCTTGACATCTCTTCAAAGAGACCTTTGACCTCCTCAAGAACCAGTGTAACTTCTTCAGAGTCATTTGGAACACCTTCAAGGACTTTTAGACTCTTCACCCTCCTCACAGAGTCCTAGAATGTTCTCAGTGACCATCAGGACCTGACCAAGGTTGTCTGTAACATACACCAAGATCAACAGAACACCATCAAAGAGACCTTAACCTGCTCAAGGACCCCTGGAACCTTCTAGGATATGCTAATGAACCTGGAATATACTCAAAAACTATTGCAGCACCAATCAAACTGAAGCTCAAACCTTCTCAAGAACTCTGGAGCACACTCCAGCTACAGTGTAATGCTCTCAACAAACCCTTAATCCTTCTCAAAAACCTCAGCAAACTCTTCCAGGACTCCTAGAATAGACTGAAATAGACTAACAACAGACTGTGGCCAAAAGTATATAGACTCTTGCTCTACTGCCTCAGATTAATAGGCACAAAAATTAATTACACACAGCTCTCCACTGCTGACATTTGGTATAAAACAAGAGCAGAAGCAAGCTATTGTTTCTGGTGAATGTTCTGGTTTCTTTTCTCTCTCTCTCCTCTGTCCACTCATCCCAACCGGTCAAGGCAGAAAGCCGCCCACCAAGAGCCAGGGTCTGTCAAAGGTTTCTTCTGTTAAAGGGAGTTTTTCCTCCCCGATTTCACCACGTGCTGCTCAGGGGGGTTTGTTGGATTTTTCTCCGTAAGAGAGAAAACCTAACCCTAACCCTAGACAGTAAGGTCAAGACCTTAGTTTGTAAAGTGTCCTGAGACGACTTTTAGTTTGGCGCTATACAAATAAAACTGAATGGAAATTGATTTGGAGGGTGTCAAATCAACTACAAGACCAATAACATAAAACAAACCCAAACCAAAAGCCAAATCCATTCCCTGAAAACGTCACACATACCTGCCAATATCACATACAGTTCATAATTTCACGGCTGTGAGCACAAAAAGCTGGAATGTAACTCTGACACATCGTCTCTGCTGTTACAGGAAGGATAGGCTTCATTTTAGAGCTAAAAGGACAAAGGAAAGGTAAAATATATACCCAGGAGCATTACAAGGCTTAACGTGACTGAAGCCAAGTGTCACAGCAGCAAGTGCACACCCAACTGTCAAAGAAAAGGTTTTTATTTTGTAGGAATGCTGCAGCTCATGCCTGTGTACGGGCTGTGCAGACTACAGCTCATTGTGAACACAGGAAGCAGTCACGAAGAAACCTCAGAAAAACTTTCCGGTGTTGCTATGGATGAATATTCTGTAACAACACAGACAGAACCTGCAGAGGATGTTTTTGACTTGTTTTTTCTGTAGCTCGACTTTCAGCAACAACCTGCTTTAGGCTGAAACTGATGGGAGCCGTGCTGCCATTTAACAGAGCTGCTGGAAAGTAACTCAGCATTTCCTCAACTACTGTACTCAAATACAGTTATGAGGTATTTGTACTTCTCCTGAGTATTTCCATGTCCTGCTACTTCATACTGTGACTCCATGTCAGAGACAAACCGTGTACTTTTTACTGCACTACATGTACCTGATAACCTCACTTCCTTTCCAGAATCAGATGAATCAAACCAAACCCAGTAGAACCATCAGACTCTGTTGATCCCAGTGGGAAATCCACCAGCTACCCAGCAGGATGGAAAGTACTTCACAGTATAAGTATATAAGGTAGTTACCATCAGCTCCACCTTTACAGCATTAATGTGATGGACACAGTAACGCATCAGTCACTATGATCCAGTATCAGAGACATTACTGGGACACGGGCCGTTCTGCAGGATGAGTACTGGTACTGTTGGTACTTCAAGTAGATCTGGATGCTGATACTTGTGTACTTTTAATAGAGGGATGTGAGTACCTCTTTTACCCCGAGTGCTACACATGAGAGGGCCGTGAGTAAATGAAAGCATGAATAATTTGAATAAAGTGTTTGTCTCTGTGTGAGTAGAAACCTGGATACAAATATTAGAAACGGGACGAGATGAAGTGAGTTGTTTTTCAAAGCAGCATCACCAGGAGAAATTACCAGCCCACATACCAAACTGATACTGCATGTAACCTCCTAACTGAAAGCAGGCAGCCCCACCCTTCTCGCCACACTGCTAACAGATCCCGTCTGTCCTCAGAAAGACATGTATCTCGTTGACATGGATAAATAGCATCTGCACATAGAGCGGCTCGCTGGTTTTCATCCTCACACTGAAAATCTGCAAACAGGCAGAAACCCTTGTCTTTTAAAAACAGACTATTGAACAGCTGCAGAGCGCAGATCCGCCCTGAACCGATCTCTGTTCATGATGCCTGGGTTTTTTCATATCTCTGGCTGTTTGTGTGTGAAAATGAGCTGCGACTCCCTTCCTCCCTGCTCTCTGCTCGAGTGTTTCCATTTTGGGAGGTTTTTCCTTCCCCTCCTGTGTGAAGGGTTTAGATGGTTTTTCCCTCTCAGCGGGCCGAGTGTTTAAACTGTGAAGCAGTTTAGTTGCTTCCAGCGTTCCCAACGTCTTATTCTCAGAGCTGTTGGCTGGAAAAAGTGAGTGTTTGCCTTCACTCTCCCTCCTCCTCCTCTCCTTCACCTCTGCTCCACTCCTCCCTCCCTCCCTTTCTGATTCCTTATTTTTTCCTGTCTGACTTTTCCCCTCCTGACTCTGACTTGTTCTCTCTACTCATTCTGTGAATGCCTCAGTATTAGCAAAGACTCTTCTGCAGATGTGCAGCTCTCACTTGTTACAGACATACATACAGTACATGTACAGTTTTTCAAGGTTAGATACTGTTTCCCTGCTAGTGAGCTCTGTTTGTTTCTCTGTACTACAGTACCCAGAAGTCACTGCAAACTGCATTCTGACCGTGCGCGGAGAGTGAAAACTGGAAACCAGACCAACACGGTGCTCATCCATTCACAGTAGTGGTGGCAGAAGTACTCAGATCCTCTACTGCAGTAAAAGTTGTAATACCACAGTGTACAAATACACTGTTACAAGTAGAAGTCCTGCATTCCAAATGGTACTTCAGTAGACGTAAAAAGTATTAGCATCCAAATATACTTGAAGCAGCACATTTATAATTACTGATGAAGATGAAGACGGGCTGTGGAGTGAGCAGTATTTCTGCACTGTGATGTTAGTAGTTTTACTTCAGTAAAGGACCTGAGTACTTTTGTGGACACACTGCTGATAACCCACTCCTGTCTGGAGTGTATCGCAGCATGCACTGGGTGAGAGGGTTCACCTGGGCGGCCTGACAAACACACTCACCCCTGACCTCAGTGGTCCAGCTGAGCTGTATCACAATGATCCAATCACATTGTACGTGTTTTATTAAACTGTGTTGCTGAAGAAAACCGTGTGTCGACAGTTCTGTCCTGTGTGTCCCCTTCCAGTGGAACACATTAACATTTGCTAAATCATGATACCAGAACAAATTGTGTTCACGTGAGAACACTGATTTAACCAGTTCTCCGACTGACCTGTTGGTTTCTGGGAGGAAAAATGTGCAGAACAAAGCGAGTCCGGTTCTGTCGGGAGCTTTTCCCCCTGAGACAAGACTGAACTGAGAACTTTTTCTTTAAAATGTGACAAAAGTCTGCCAGTGTATTCAGACTCTTACATAATAACATATTTCAGGAGAAGCAGGAATCATTTTCTAGGGGTTTTCATTGCTCTGTGTGGCTATAAGACTATGAGTTTGTAGGAGGTTCCCAGCAAAGGAGAGTGTTCTTGCTCACTGAAGTGTTTGTTCTTGTTTTAAGAAGGCTGAGGATGAGACCTGCTACAGCTGCTGTCACAGAGCTACACATATCATTCTAGAAAGATAAACTCTGTCACTCACCCTTTCCTGCTGGCACTCCTCCAGCAAGATGTTAGTGGCATTGAAGCGTTTCTCGAGCAGCAGACACTCTGCCCTGTGATGGTCCCGCTCCTGCCTCGCCTTCAGCACCAGCTCCTCCAGAGCCACCTTGTCCTTGTTCCACACCACCTTGGCCCCCTCCAGCTTCTCCGTCTTGTCTTGCAGCTCCTTGCGGCACTGGGCCGAGCTCTTCAGGTCTGGAGACGTCGCCCATACCACAATGATAATGAGGGAGATAACGGACCACAGCGCCAGAAGGGCGAGCACCACGTTCTTGGCTGTCTGGGAAGACTTGGAGGAGGCTGCCATGGTAGGACACCTGAGGAGGAGGAGGAGGATGAAGACGACCCACGCTCCTCTTTCGCTCCATGTGGGCGTTATGGTGCCCGGGAGGACGTAGCAACCAGCAGGGGAGGCACAACACGAGGGGGGGGGGCAAGTTTAACTCTCGCACACAGTTTACATGGAATGTGTGGTTTCTGTGCGAGGGCTGTGTGTGTGCGAACGCTGAGGCTTTCTGTTTCCCTGCCTCACTGCCATGAACCTGGATGAACTCTGAAAGTATGAGGTTCTTTTGGCAGAAAGAAGAAATAGTTTTGAGCCAAGAAATGAAACTCAGAGGAACAGAAACACAGATGAGCAAAGGAACAGAAAGAGAAAGTCTGCCTTCCCCCCTCCTCAGTAGCAGCAGCAGTTCTCC